GACTACGCTCGTTGCTAAAGCTTGGTTTCGTCGCGGAACAGCGCATCAAATTGCGGCCGCTATTTCTGATATTATTTTTCTGCTAAAACTTCGTTGACCTTTGGAGACATCATTAATATAAATAATTTTTATGGCCGTTAAATAAGAAATGTTTCTTTCACAAGAAATGTATAAAATTACAGTACTAAACAGACGATAGGTCGCCTAACTCGCCGTAGCGTGACGCTAGACGGCGAAAAATATATATTTAATTATAATAAAGTTACAATAAATTAAGTTAATATATAATTATATATACAGTACCTAATTTATATATAATTAATATATAATTATATGTACAGTACCTAATTTATATATAATTTATATAATACTGTCCAGACGATAGAAATCTCTCCGTAGCGTGGCGCTACGGACGGCGGGTAAGTAGTTCGGCTGCCCGATGACGTTTTACGTATTATAGGAGTTATTTTTACCGTTGTTTACGGATAATGCCACAATTTTTATAGGAATCATAACTATAGGAAACGCTTTTATAGGGGGATCTACTGTACTAATATACTATTATTGGGATATACTAATATACTATACTAGCTGCAAGGACCCGCTTTGCTGGACAAAAAGTAACGATAGTGAAGATTAAGATAATTACATTATAGCCAATCTTACCCATTTTCACAGAATGCAAGAATTAGGTCCCCCCATTTCCAGACTAATTAGAGACCTGGTCCCGATTCTATTTCTGAACATCTCCTGTTCACGTCCAGTCAAACGAACTATTTTCAACGTTTCTGGAATGTTTACAATCGTTCTATAATCAAACCAATATTCGAATTTTATGTTCGAATTAAATTCGAACATAACATTCGAAATAGAAAACTACTTTCAGCCCCATATCTTCTGCACCCTCATAGCTATCGAGACGCAACCACCATAGTGCATGAATGGAGACTCGGGGCTACTATCACATACAAACACCATTCATGTGCGATGTGTAGTTTTGGCTGAAAAGTGAAATATAGGGACACACACGTCCATTTTTATATATATAGATTAATAATGTATTTTTTCGTACATAATCGGTTATCTGAAAAATTGATTTTCCGAACAACCCCAGTCCCCAATTGATTTGGATAATCGATGCTCTACTGTATATATATTGTTTATGCAAAATAAAAAATAATTTTAGATGATACGATAGCCAGGATTATTTTTTTCAAAAACAGGAAATTTTCGTTAGGCATCGACAAAAATTCAACCGGGGCAACATGCAACGTTGAGAAATTTCAAAATTGGATAGGTTAATTTCACCAAAAATGCATCATGGATTAGCTTGTAGTCGTGGCCAGTGAAGTTTGAAAGATTGTGCTCAAAACCAGCGATGCCAAAGAAGATTGGAGAATGAGACCCACCTTGAGTGTCAAAGTGATTCCACTTAGTGGTGAGTCTCCGAGACATAGTCTTGTCCCAAATATGGCCTTGCCATTTTACTTGTTTTATTAAAAATGACATTGGCACCAATACCAAAACTGTACATAATGAAAATCCTCAACACCACTATCACAGCTTTTGACATCAGATCGATTACGTGATGTCTCTGATATTACTCTTTTCCTTAGTGAAATAATTACAAATGTAAAATGTAGTCATTGAATGAAGGTTTCATACTTTATTGTTTCGTGTACATCTAAGATAAAATGATAATAATTTGAAATGATTGATCTATTCATTCTTGATGGCAGTTTCTGTACAGTGGAAGCATGCTTAACGTTCCAAATGCCATTGTTGAACTTCTACACTTACAGGATGGCAGTGCTGAACGTCCCACATTCACATTTTTGTGATAAAAATGTTGGCCCCATCAGATGTTTCTGGCACATCCTGTATTATTTCAAATATAATTTGATACTTATATGCAAATTCTGTATGCTTTCATGCAGTGTACATAATTCTTAACATTGAAAAGTAAGACACTAGATATTTATATTAATTGTTTAGATAGGATGATATAATCAATAAATCTTTTAGGATATGGAACTTCCTTACAGTATTTTAATTTAATCATATCAATTGTGACAATATATAGTTGAACAAACAATTTAGTCAAATAGAACTAAACACCTTAAATTAATAGTGAAAAAATTATATATATTATATTTATATTTTTCATCAGCAAGCCAGCATGATAAACTTGATACTTGAGATAGCCTTCTAACTAGATATCAAAAAGATTCAGATCTGATGAATAAGTTGGCCAGTGTCAAGTCTAGAGAAATTATCATCAAATTTTGAATATAATTGACATCCTCAGAGGGCAAAATGCACCAAATTGACCATGTGTCATTCATGCCAGAAATTACAAAATGAAATAAATTTGCAACACTGTAATATTTATGAACTTGATCATTTTTGAGTACAGGTCAAAAGTATCAAAATAGTCATCTCATTCACTAGTACTGCAATAAGGTATCAACCATCTTGTTGAGTGCATCTGTCAATCTCAAACTATGTCATCTTAGATTCCTTACATATACTTTTTAGACATCAATATTCTTGAAGTGTGGAATTGGAATTGCTATGATTTTGATGGAACAGCTTTATCAACAGTGTACATTCCTTTTTTTGGTGGTGTTTTTTCTGGGAAAGAATTTTAGATGGTTAATCTTCAATGTTAGCTAGTTGTTGCTACTACAGATATTAATTGATTGTTTGGTTTCTAAGCAAAACAAAATGATACTCATACTTAATTGCATACTAATCATGTTTGAAAATGCTATATTTTTATTTTAACTGGTTGGTGGAAATATTTAGCTGGTGAATCAACCAGCAAAAACAAGCACTGTGATATCATTTCAATTAATTTCTTCTCCAAAGACTGGAGAGCAGGAAAACTTTAGAATTGTATATAACTAATTTACATAATTTATTTCATTTATCAATTAATGTAATGATTGGTCTGTTATGAAGTTTTTATCTTGCAATTAGAGTAAACATTTAAATGTTTATCACAAAAAATTGTACATTATCATGTTCTTGATAAATTTTATGAAGCTAAAACTAAAATTCATTGTTTTTTCAGAGATACTTGTTTCCAGAAAAACAAGCCATTATTATTGAAGAGATTCAACATCTGTTGCAATATGATACGTTAGCAAAGACAACTGCTGAAATTGCAAATGAAGTTACCAATTCAGAGTGTAAAAATGATTAGAATGATGATAGGGAATTTATTGTTAAGAAAAATGTGTAAAATTGTTAAATTTGAAGTTAAAATATATACATTGAGATGATGAATTTAAAATGTATAAAACTATGTTATTTTCTAATGTATGTAAAATTTAAAAAATTAAAATATATAAATGAATAACATTGCACAGATTTAAAAAAAAAATATTTTTTTAATTCTGATAAATGAATAATTTAGAGGAACAGAAAAAAAAATCATTTCTGTTTTTCTTACACAATGACAAGATTTAATGAAATAGTTACTCTTTTTGTAAATACATAATTTATCAAGCATAAATCTTAAAATCTAGTAAAATATAGGGTAAAAAGATGTATTGTATACAATATGTGCTGTACAAATACATTTGATGGAAAAGTTTGTTTGCATTTTACATTATCCAAAAATGTGTGTGATGAATTAAGAAATAAATTATTGCTTTGGTTGTAAAAAACCTTTATAAAAATTAAAACTGAATGACAAAGATTTTGCTTAAAGAATTGTATTTTTAAATTGGAGTTTTAAACAAAACCAGGTGCATTTGAAAATGTTTATTTTGATTTCTTTTTATTCACATTGTGTTGAAAATTTCTATAAATTTATACAAGAGAACATTTTTTAAAAATTTCAAATAAAACAACTTGAATGTTCAAGAAACAATCAAAATCGCAATAACTTTGAAATTATCTTAATCCTTAACAATATTCAAAATTATTTTTTAATGAGAGAAATAACTTTACATAATATAAAAATTGCAAGCATTCTTGATACATTTGGTTTATAGTAAAGATTTTTGAAAATTTTCCTAAAGAATTCCCAAAAATTAAACTACTAATAAATAATTGTATTCTGCTAAGTTAAAAATATAAATTATTTATACTTTTTATAGTAAGAACATACAATAAAACATTGTCATTTACATTTGACATTTATATTTATTGCACAATGATTAAGATTTTCATTTAAATATGGATACAATAAATATTTACATACAAATTTATAAATGGTATACATATGATCTGTGATCAAATTTCATGTATACTAATATATAATGTTTAAATCATACTAAACAGAAATGTGATGAATGTTTAAAATATTTTCTTCATGAATATACTTTATTCCAATTATATCCAAGGAAGAAGGGATGTGATTTGATATCTTCTACTCCATGTGGTCCAGAACCTAATCTCTCAGATACATTATACTTTAATAACTATAAAAAAAATTAAGTTTTGAAGCATAAATTCTCAACTTAGAATTTTAAAAACAATTTTTCAAACAAATTAAGTTAAAATTTTTACCTTTATTATTAAATCACGTGCTTCCACAGAAATGTGAGTGGGAATAGTAATGTTTGAATGGGCTGTAATTCCTCCAGGATGGCAAGAAACTAAAGTCTAATATAATAGAATGCAATGTAGCTTCAAACATTAACAATAAATACTTTTGTTGATACTAACCCTTCCTGTTAATAATTCAAACATCAGTGCACCCACACTCCACCAGTCGCAAGCAAAAGTAACAGGAAAAATGCCTCCAACTTCTAAATATACATATTTTACATTAATAAACAATTTTTTTCATATTAAAAANAATTTGCCGACTGGAATTCTTTCGGATAATTGACTTTCGGATAATCGATGCTCTACTGTATCACATTTTTTTTCACTCAATAAAAGTACTTTTGAAAGCTGACTGTTTGGAATCATTCCATGAAAAATCTTAACAATATCATTGTAAGAAGCAAATGAGTAATTGCTTTGTATCCACAGGAATTCTGCAGCATATGCAGTATCAGTGGCATGTCAAAGATGTTCAAGTGCCAGGTACAAATCAAATGAGGGATGTGTATGAACAAAATAATTTTATAAAAATAATGTAATGTTTATTGACAAATTTGAAATTATACTGACTAATGCCTGGGCTGTACTTATACAGTGTTTTTTCATTAAATCTAAATATGCATATTTTAGGTAATGGATGAATGGATTGATGGAATAAGACAATGCAAAACTTAGATTATCTGACAAGGGGGAGATAACCCAGTTTCCCATAGTAAATCCTGGGATTTACTATGGGAAACTGGCCCCTATTTAAGTGTTAGACATGTGAAGAAAATTCAGGAAACTTTATGTGGTCAGCTTGTTGGTCAAGCATGAACCTGAAGTGAATATAATGTGATAAAAATTCTTTTCAAACTGTTTGATGAAATAAACTTTGGAATAATTTATTATGAAATAAATCCATATTGAATGCATTTGAAGTGTGCATTTGAAAACCAAAATATTGTTGACAAGACTGTCTTGTTTATAAAATTGTACTGCCTGCTGGGTAACCAGCTTAGAGGTATGAAGGAGTACATGTCAGAAGTTGCAATTTGACACAGAGTATTAGGTGACCAAATCATGGGCGCATAAAAAAACCAGAATTATAGGTACTCGGGACCGAGAACCGAGTCAAAATAAAATTCAAAATGGCGACACTCTACAAACAGGCAGTAGTGCAAGATTTGCACATGCTTTGCTCGTTGGAAATGTGAACATTGTGAAATCGAATTTTGACAAACGAATCTCTGAAAAAAACCCATTTATTTGTAGTGGCATGTTTTGTAAACAATGCTTGGGTAAATTAAGCTGATCCCTCCCATACATCTGTGTTATTCCCAAAATATCTCTGGTCACGATGTTCTGACCTTGATTGGTTAACCCGAGATATCTTGTTTCAGCATCGGAACCTTTTTTCAAAGTAGATGGCACTAGTCGTTATAATTTTATATTAAAACTAACTTCCAAAATATTATTTTTTTTCTACATTTATTAATATATATATATGTGTTATTTGTATATACTGTATGTTACTGCTAAAGCTCGAAAGTCGTTAATGTGTGCATTACCTAGCTAATCTGCAGATTAACTAGGGTGATCCGTTAAAGTTGTGAAAATTGTTCCATTTCTCAAATTACCTAGATAATGTGCAGAGTATCTAGGTAATCCGCACATTACCTACTAGGCACTTGGTAAAGTGAAAATAAGGTCTTTGCCACAAATAAATGTACCACAAATAGGTGTGCTTGTCGCAAAAACCAATTGCTATGAAATTCAAAGTGTCACCAATCTTTAGACTGCACTAATAAGTAAGCACAATTGGATAATGTTACCTATGGTGAGTAAAATGGCGGCTCGTCTCTGATTCCAGCAAAGAGAAGAAAGGAAACAGTGGGGACGCACGTTCAAACCTAACCTAACCTATTCTAATAATTTGGTTGGTAATAATTATGGTAATTTATTAGAATAGGTTAGGTTAGGACAGAACGTACTGTATGTCCCCACTGTTTCCTTTCTTCTGTTTGCTGGAATCAGAGACGAGCCGCCATTTTACTCACCATAGGTAACATTAACTGCACAGTTATATCATGCAATCATCAGAAAAAGTATGATAACTTTATTATTTTTTGTCTCTGGTCCAAAAGTAGGGTATTGTTGAAGTCATCTCGATGTCCTCAGTTCAGACAGATACTCAGTCCCGAAATTCCATTGGTGGTTATCTATATAATAATTTCACTAATTGTATTAATATTTTAAATCGTTTGATTTTTTTTGTATGTTTTTTAATTGGTTGATGATTGATTCTATCAACTAATTTGTTGATTGTTCGATTGTATTAACTTGATTCTTTAGATCAGTGGTTTTCAACCTTCTTGAATATGCGACCCCTTTACAAGTTAAAAAATTCTGGCGACCCCCCTAGGGCCATAATTAAAACTATATCAGTGATTTTAAAAACTATGTATTTAATTTTCTTTCTGTTGAGAGAAATTATTGTTGATTAAAATGAGAATTTAAGAAGAATTCACAATAACTTAAGACACGTATAGTATGAAACTTCCTTTTCATTATAACATTGGGCTCTGGGTGCTGTTGACCTTTTTTTT